GGGGAACAAAGTAGAATGTAGATATGCAGCCATGGGTACATGGCTTTCACTCAGAACTTTGCTGCAGCTAAGGTGAAAAGGGAAACACACTCAAAGGAACATCAGTTACTCAAGGGTAGCCACACATTTCATGGTACAGTACTTGGCTCTGGAAAAGTAAAAATCAGCTTCACAGTAAAGGCAAGGTGGGTTCTGTGGAGCTGTCCCTTCTAGAACTCCTTAATATAAGCAGAAGCCAAAATAAAAGTCAGGAACCACTCCAGGTAGGGGTGACAGTCAGTGTGGATGAGCTCAGGACCAAATAGTCACGTATACACCTTCCAGGTGGACTGGCTAGCCAGTAGCTCTCTTTAGGCAGATGCAGAATGTTCAGAATTCAGTTAATGTGATTGGCAGGTGGTAGGGGCTGACAGGCTTTTGTAGAGTAAGTGACCTCCTTAAGATTGTCACCTTAGTAGGAACATTCCTCCATGTATGACAGGTAGAGGGAGCTCCTGCAGGCAATCTAGGATTTTCCTTAAAAATCAACTCTAAGAAAAAAGTATTCAAGACCATCAAATTCTGTCATAAAGGAATGAAATCTTTCAAGTCTTGCTTCTATTTTTTTTTTTTTTTTTAAGTTCACATTCACTACCAACACTTAGAGATCAAAAGATTTCAACTCTGGCAACCCTGGAAGCTATACCACATCACATGCAAACATTCTGCTCAGCTGAATATACAGCACTAACTCATGTGCCCAGGCTGTTTGCACTGGAATGTCCTGTTGGAGAATGATGAAGAATTCAAAGAAATCATTAGTTCACTCCGACTACAGAAAAATATAAATAGTGCTTTCATGAAATGTCTGGCTTTCAGCAAAGTGAACTGGTCAATCTACCTGGAAGATTTATTTGTAAAACAAATCTGGATTTTAGTTACTGGATCTAGGCCAGTATTAGTTGGGAGGATGTGTACTGAGATAATTATTTTAGTTTTGAAACAGACGATCTTGGTCCATTCTTTGTGACAAATGGTGAGCAACAAGATTAACTATATATTAATGTTCTGATGTATCCAGACAACTATTCTATTAATCTAGGCTTTCAAAGTCATGTAGTAGTTCTGCTTTTATTAGAGCTGGGATTTTATATTTAACTCATACAATTTAACCTGAAACCAATTCTTACTCAGAATCAAAACATGAGAAATAACAAAGCCTGCAAACATTCTTTTAAAAGCAAGGTTCATTTTTTTCTAATTTTAAAAATGTATATTATCAGCAACTCAGAAAATAAGAAAAATTTAATTTTTTTCCAATTATCTATTTTGAAAAATTTCAAACCAGCTGTTACAGTCTGTATCTTAAATGTCCCCAAAGAACTAGGTCCCATGGCTTGGTACCCAGAATGGTGATATTGGAAGGTGGTAGAATCTTCACGAGGCAAGGGTGTCTTTAGGTCACTGAGGATGTGTCCTTGAAGGGTACTGTGGGAAACTGGCCCCTTCCTTGTTCTTTTCTTGCTGCCTGGCCATAAATTGAGTGATTTTGCTCTGCTACATAGTCCTATCATAATGTGCTGCCTTACCACAGGCTTAAAAAAAACAGGTTCAATTGATCATGGACTGAAGCCTCCAAAACTGTGAGCCGAGATAAACTTTTTCACTTCATAAGGTGATAATCGCAGATATTTTGTTACAGTGATGGAAAGCTAAGTAACACACCAGCAAATACAGATATGCAGGCCAATCCACTCAGTTGCAAATGCTGTCAACAAATTTACTCAGAGCTTCTTGGCAGACAATATGAAAAGGGACAGTGAACCAGTTATGCAATTTATATTGCCTATAAGGAGAAACACATCTGTTACTCAAGAGTAGCCAAATGGCTTAATGTCAACTCTCCTGGTCTTCTTTTTAACCCCATGGAAATGGCCCTGGCATATTTCTGCCTGTGCTGGAGGGATCCTGTGCCTTCCTGACATGCAGCAAAGGACAACGCCATGACTTCATTAAACAGAACTGATTGCTCCCTCCTCTGTATCCCTGTTTGCAACCCTCATTTCACTTCATAGATTCTATTATAGCATGCAATAATTGTATTATAGTTACAGTACATGTGTACCTTGCTTTAAAAACATCTATGGCAACTAGTTATATACTTATGCGTTTCTGTCTCCAAACTGGCTTCTTGAATATTATATCACAGACATAGTATTTGGACAGAGGTTGGTGCACCACACCTTGTCCCTGAGTGCTTCAGGAAATGACCTGAGTAGGATTTTAAGTTGTGCTGTTACAAATAAATGAATCTCATATAAAGTTGGGGAGATTGTATTTTCTCCCTGATGGATTTCATCTATGCCTAGGGCTTAATTGAACCATTACAGTTAATGTCCTTCAGATCTATTTCATTTTTAAAACAACCTTATTCCTCATTCACTGACCTGCATAACTGATGGTTTATCGGACAGTTTCCTTCAAGTGTGTAGGTTTTCTTCAGGACACACTCACAGCACTGTCCTCAAGAGGGGCCCTAATAAACTGTAATCCTTTTCTAGATAAAGGAGAAAGCAACAGGAAACCAACTATCACCTTTCTTATTAGTGGTTTCTTCCTGTCGTAACAAATTACTACAAACTTTGTGATTTAAAGCAATACAGATTTATTATCCTACAGTGTAGAGGTCAGAAGTCCTACTAAATTTCTTTGCCTTTCCCCGCTTCTAGAAGCTGCGTGTATTCCTCGGATTCCTCTTGAAGGTCGACAGTGTAGCATCTTCAAATCCTTCTGACCTCTGCTTCCATCATCACATCTCCTCCTCTGACCCTGACTTCCTGCTGCCAGTCCAGCCAGTAATCCAAGATAATCTCCCCAGATCCTCAGTCACATCTGCAAGGTCTCTTTTGCCATGCAGTGCAACACGTACAGGGACTAGGGTGTGGTCATTTTATGGACCATTATTCTATGCAACACACCTGAAAAAGTTGGTAGTGGATATTACCCGTGGACAGAGAGTTTCCGAATGTTACACGATATAATTAAGTTGGTTTACTCGCTTTATGGCCCCAAATAGGCACCCTGTTTCCACTCCCTGCTCCTAGAGAAGCAGAGAACACCAGGACAGTTCCCCAAAGACAGGGCAGTTTCTCCTTTTAAATTCACCAATCAAGGAATTACTCCAGCAGGGAATGAGTTGGGTCAGGTGCAGCAAGAAGCCAGGAGTGAAGGAGCCATTCTGAAGAGAGTAAGTGTCTCCTCAAGAAATAAATGCACATTTGAATTCATCATTACCCACATATTCAGTCATCTCATCTGATAACATAAGGAATGTTATCATCCTTAGGTAAGCAGGAGTAGTCATCTTAGGTACCTATGGAAAACCCAGACGTATCTTTCTTTCCATCTTGATAAATGTTATTGCTATCACTGTTTTACTTACTCATTCACCCTCTACTCATACTAAGGATTCAACCCAGGGCCCTTGCGCTGACCTACAGCCTCAGACCTTTTCAATATTTCACTCTGAGATAGTCTAAGTCGTTAAATTGGCCAGTGTTGGTAAAGCAGAAATCCTCACCGAAACGCAGCCATTTAGTCCAATGTAGGTGCAGTCATTCTGTTTTCTGCTGAGGAACTTGGCTAAATCACATGATTTCTTATCAAAGTGAAATTTCTGCGAATGTGCTAAAAACAATTTTGCTACATACAACTGTGCTCGCCACAAGCTACCCATTATACTATGGCCTTCAGCTGTGCTTATCTTAGCTTTTTTTTTTTTTTTTTCCAGTACCGGGAATCGAACTCACGACCTTGCGCTTGACAGACAGGAGCTGTGCTGCTGAGCTAAATCCCCAGACCCTGTCTTAGCTTTTGTAACTCCCACTATAAAAAAGACATCCTATAAAAAAGACAAACTTTTTGTAATCAGCGTCTCACACTTTGGAGACGACTCCTCTGGGGGTCCGACAGCGTTAAATAAAATTTCCTTTCTTCTCTCGAGCTCCTGGCTACTGTCGACTGAATATTCCTGCAACGCCCACTGCTCGTCTGCCTCTCTTGGGAGAAAGATTTTACATACCGGATAGGCTTTATAGTCCAAAAAGTACCTTTACATACATTATTTCTTCTTAGCCTCACAAGTCTCCAGTAGGCAGGACGGGTATTACACTTACACTTGTCTATTTTTAAAATTTTTGTTGTTGTTGTTGCGATCCCAGGGCCTTAGATACGCTAGGCAAGTGCACTACAAGTCAGCTATACCTCCGGCCCTGGTTCCACTTACTGAATGAGAGACTGAGTCAGGGAGGATTCAAGCGTTGGCCCATCACACCTCGCTACCTGGGCGTGAGCCGCGCGCTCGGCCGCTTCGGGTCCCAGTGCCTGCAGAACCTCCTCGTACCTCGCACAACTTGCGACCGAGCCGCGTCCTACCGGACGAGGACACCGCTCTCTCCACCGGCGCGCCGGACCTTCCCACCCCTAGTGACACGCACCGGTGACGCAACACAGTGACGCGTGGTGAGGCGCTGACCCGGAGCCAGGTGCCGGCCGGGGGTGGAGCACACCTTGGGGGCCCCGCTGAGGAGGGCCCGCCTGTCAGGCGGGCTGGGAGGAGCCGCAGAAGCGCCCGGAGGCGATCCCTCAGTCCTAAAGCTGGGGCTCCGCGGGACCGCAGTCCCGGTTGCTAAGTGACGCCAGCGCGCAGAAGCGCGTGCGCGGCCACGGCGCTGTGCGTAAAAGCGGACGCGCGCCGCGACGGCGGCGGTGGCGGCGGCGGCGAGGACGGCGGCGACGGCAGAGGCAGAGGGGGCGGTGGCTACGAGGGGGCAGCGCAGCAAGCGGAAGAGGCATCGGTGCTCGCGGCTAGCTCGCCTAGGAACATCGTTGGGGTGAGTAGCCGGGCCTCGCAGGGGAGGACAGGCCTGGCCGCACCTGCTGCGCGGGCCCGGGGCGCGGGGACGCGCGCCCTCTCCGTACCCGCGCGCGCTGCTCCACGCCCCTCTGCCGTTTTTTCCGGGGGCGGGGAAGGAGCATGGACGGGGGCTGACGAGGGTCAATTCCTTGGCCCCGGCGCCCTGGGAAGTGGTAGTGAGGGGCTGGAGGAGACTCGTAGTTCTGGAAGGTGGTTGTGTACGCGCACGCGCGTGTGTGTAGAGTGGTGTTTTGGGGTGGGTCTGCCAGGCTCCCAAACGGACAAGTTCCTGCCCTGAGGCGCGGTTGCCAGAGACGACTGGAGGCAGAGTCCAGGACCCCGCAATGCCTTAGGGTGCGAGGGACTCCGGGGATCGTCAGAGCCCCAGCCCTGTCCAGTCACCGAGTAGGAGTCGGTTGTTATGGAGAGAGTTGTGAATCAGTGCCTGCGTGCGCATCAGACACACCCATGACCTGGGGAAGGCGACCTGTCAGGGTAGACGCTACCTGTTGCCTGGTTTCCAGCCTCACGTGTCTGTCCTTGTGCTGCATGTTATTTCATCAGTGGAGTTACAGATTTTGAGGCTAAGGGGCTGATATCCGTCCTCACTCGTTAATCCCTCAGAAACAAATCTGCGGCTACATTTTGCAGAACCTTTTATACTTTGGTCGTTATTAAGGCCGAGGAAGTTTGGAAACATTTTTTATTTTTTTCCTAAAAGCAGAATGGGCTTGCTTTTTACCAGACAGAGAATACATATTCTGGTCAACGTGTGAGGTGATTTGGAGAAGCCAAAGTATAAAGGTGAGGCAGATCGTGAGCCCAGAGCTCTCTTTAGTATGTGGGCCCCGCTCACGGGTAGGTGTTGTGGTTATCATTGGAAGGAGTCACTTTTTTCCTGAGTTGATGATAACTAAGGCAATGCCTAGAACTGGTAAAAAGACTGAACTGAAATTTAATCATGCTTTGGGCGAGAAGATTTAGGAAAATAACTTCAAAGCTTTTATCAAGATCTGAAGTTTTCTGATTCCGTCTCGTAACTGAGGATCTATAATGTATGTTTCGTGAGCTTGTTACATGTTGAAACCTGTAAACCTTGCTCTGTAACTCTTAAGAGTACCCAGAATTCAAAAACTCTGGACTGTAATATCTTTTAGGACAGGAATTGCTTCTGTTTTCTTCCTTGCCATGTCTCCTAACACCTGAAAATGTGCTTGCCACAGAATAAGCACCCAGTAGATACGTGTTGTGTTTCACACTGGGCATAATTGGTGTATCATTGTATACAAAGCATTTAGTTCTGCCCCTCACCTGTTTAATACACGTGCCCTCTCCAGTGTTACACTATATGTGGGAGGAGGAGTATGAGGTTACAAATAACATAGAAAGGTTACAAATAACGTACAAAGACTTGGCTTTTTTCATTTAAGAGCAGACTAGCCAGGAGAAGAAAGCATATATATATAGATAGATAGATATGTATATATCTATATATATATACACACACATATATATGAAATCAAATGAGATACTACTGTAAACAAGTGTTATATGAAGACTGTAAATGCAGTACACAGTAGTTTGAGTTAGGGAACTCCGGAACAGGTAAGATTTGAACTGGTCTTTGAAGGAGATGTAAAATTAGAAAAGATGTAAGAAATTATGTGCTGAAAGTTAATGTGAATTGGTCATCTAGGGAGTATAGTGAGACATATGACTGGAGCAGAAGGTCAGTGATACATAAATATGAGATAAAGTTTAACATGGTATGAAGGGAAATTGTTAAAGGCTAAGGGAGACTTAGCAACATCTTAGTTATCACAGGATAAGCCTGCTGACAAGATGGGATGGAGATTGTTAGAATAGTTTTAAACAACAGTGAGTGTTGTTATTTTTACTTAAGGACTATTTTGTTCAAACCGGGATCAAGTAGGTATGTTGCATATTTTGATTGCAGTTACTAATTGCGATAAATGCCTCATGAGTGTGTATGTACCATAGTCAACAGCACATATCTCATCTTCTGAAATTTATTTGATGGGTGTAGTTCCTTCTGTTGAAAATTTACTGAAATGACATATATTTCAGTAAATAGATGTGCTTTCTTGTCCTGTCCAGTCTGCTGTCAGAGGAAAAAAGCCAAGTCTTCTATGTTTTTTATAACCTTACAACCTCACAAAGTATCATCTAGCCATACTCAGTGACACAGTTTTGCCTGGGATTATCTCTCATAGTGATCTTTGAGTTTTGCAGTTACTGCTGATTCTGTATAAAATAAAATGTTAGTTGGGAAAGAAATCTTTCTGAAGGATATTGACAAGAACTGACAAAATGATTTGACAGGTAAAGACACTGCTGCTGAATATTGAGCTATTTATAACATCTTTTGTAGTAGGAAAATTCTTTTGAGTGGTATGTAAACTTAAGGTTGAATTGCTAACGAAGGTGTGTAGAGTTGCACAGCAAATGTTGCATTATTAAACAACTCAGCAAATATTCATCGGGTGCTGGCTGGACTAGCCATTCGTTGCGTGCTGTGCAAACAGATGAATAAAATAAGTGCCCATCAGGGGATAAACCACTAGACATGTTGTGATAAATTGTGCTAGGGAAATAGATAACTTTGGCTGGAGAAAAAAAATGATAGTCAAGAAAGCTTTGAATAGCTAGGTATGGTGGCATACACCTGTAATCCCAGCACTTAGGGGAAAATTCGAGACCAGCCTGGGCTATAAAGTGAGGTCAAAGCCAGCCTGAACTACATAGCTAGACCCTGTCTCAAAAAGACAAAAAAAACAAATCCAAAAAACAAACAAACAAAAATTTTGAAGTGAAGAAGATGGAGTTTCACCCTGAAGGTTAAGTAAAATTTTGCCACATGTAAAGGAGAAGACAGCATTCCAACCAGAGGTGACAGCACAAACAGTGTTATTAAGGATTAAAACTGAATTTTTTTTGGAAATGTCTTGAGTTGTTTCCTGTACGGTTGATGCATAACAGTAGTGGTGAGACAGGAAATGTGTTCTTGGAGCCAAATTATGAGAGTGTCTTCTACTCCACTGAAAAAGTGTAGCTCCTCTTCCCTCCATTTAATTGGCAATGGAGAGCCATGGAAAGTAGAATAACCAGATCACAAAGTTAATTGACAGTTTATGTGCAGACTGCATTAGAGTGGAGGGGCAGGGAGATCAATTAGAATGTAGCTGAGAGATGTTAGGCCAAAGGACAGTGGAAATGGATAGTTTGTAGAGACATTTTATTTTATTTATTTTATATTTTTTGGTACTGGGAATCGAACTCAGGACCTTGTGCTTGCCAGGCAGGTGCTTGTGCCACTGAGCTATATCCCAGACCCTGTAGAGACATTTTATTTTTTTTTTTTATTTTTTTATTTTTTTAAATTTTTTATTT